ATATGATATGATATGTTTTATGCCATGAATTTGACTATCAAATTAAAAGAATTCAATTTTCTTAATATGGACGCAAGTCCCACGCTGTGCTAATTAAGAGCAACTTTCAACTTTCAAGCGTGCTTGTCGAGACCAAGTTGTACGCCCACCTCGTGATAGTGGGACCCTTTTTCTTCGAGATCATGAATATAAAAAATTATCATGATTTAATTATAATTATCTTGCTGCTCCCTAGAAATTATGCAGCTTAACAATACCTTAAATTAATCGACAATGCCTTACCATAAACATAATCAATCATCTAGCAAAGTAATTAAACCAAAGCCCACTTAGTTGATTTGGAATAATTTAAAATAATATTGTTTTGAAATAAAAAAAAATCTAAATGCTAACTAAGGTTATCGATTAACTTCAATTAAATTCAATATAATTTAAAACTGGATCTTGAAATCAAGTCATTGAATCGTTGGGTCGGAGAAAAATAATAACTCTCATTTACAAATACAAATGATATTAAACATTAATAAAATATTATAATAAAAAATACATATAAATTATTGTATCATAATCTCAAAAACAACACACACACACGTATAAATAATTGAATTAAGAAAACATTCCAAAAATATACATACATAATAAATGTTTTACTTAATCTATTTGAACTCCATCAAGAATTCAAAATAATTTATAACGTACCTCCCATACATTTTTTAAATGGTTCGAGATTACCTAGTAACAGAAGTGAAGTTATTGGTAGGTTTGTGAAATTAGTGTTAGTATCGTTGTTAAATGGGTTTTCATGAGAGTGATGTTAAAGGAAATCAAGCATAGCATAGGAAATCAACCACAGAATAAGAAATCCAATTTAGGCAAATATTGTAATTGAATCTTTATTTATTTGTTTCCTTATTCATAGATGATTAGGTCTGATCGTAGGCTATAATATAGGCTCCTGGTGTTTAACCAATAGTATAAATTTTAACCTTTACTTACTCTGTAAAATAATAAGAACATATCATTCTTTTCATGGTATCAGAGCAATTAGTCTAGGTATCAAAATAAAACACAAACCCTTTAACCAACTTCCATGGGAGACGAAAACCAAGGAAGCATGTCTTCAGTAGCAAGATGGGATCATCCCAATCACCAGCTTTACCTTCACCATTTAGATCAACCTGGCGCTGTTTTTATGCCACAACCTTTGGTTGAAGACAACTACAACACATCGAGCCAATCCATGACTATGGCTCTGACAATTAAAAACAAGATTGGATTTATAGATGGCTCAATGAAGGAGCCTGATGAGAAGAAACCAGATGAGAAGAAACCAGATGAGTATCAACAATGGAATCGGTGTAATAGTTTGGTTAAAACGTGGCTGCTGGGATCTATGCCCAAAGATATTGCAACCAGTGTCATTAACTACAAGGATGCCAGGCAAATGTGGCTTGATTTACAAGAAAGATTCTCACATGTGAATGTGGTTCAGTTATTTAATATTGAGAATGAAATTCACATGTGAATGTGGTTCAGTTATTTAATATTGAGAATGAAATTCACATGTGAATGTGGTTCAGTTATTTAATATTGAGAATGAAATTCACATGTGAATGTGGTTCAGTTATTTAATATTGAGAATGAAATTCACAACTGTGTGCAGGGCAACATGTCTGTGGGATCCTGCTTCACAAAACTGAAAGGTTTATGGGATGAGCGTGATGCACTCTACACCTTTCCAACATGCACTTGTGGATCAATCAAGGAAGTGGCTGCATACCTGGACACACAGAAAACCATGAAATTTCTCATGGGTCTTAGTGATTCATATGTGGGTGTTCGTAGCAACACTCTGTTGCAGGATCCATTACCAATAATAAACAAGACATATTCACTGGTTCTTCGTCATGAAAAACAATCAGAAGTGACAACTGGGAAAAGTCTTGCTCAACCAGAGGCTACTACCTTTGCCGTAAAGAATTCAAGCCATGATATCGAAACTGAACAGAGATGCTCCAGATGCAATAGAACAAATCATAACACCAAGGATTGTCGCGCACATCTCAGATGCACTTTCTGCCGTTGGAAAGGACATACGGCTGAATATTGTCGCAAGAGGAAAGCAGTAACTGAAGCTGAGTTTAATATGGCAATTTCCAAGGGAAATCAAGTTGCATCCCTTGAGAATAAAAGGAAGGAGATGAACTTTCCTTTCACACCTGACGAATGCAAACAGATACTCAGCATGTTAAAAACTAAAACATCCTCTGCCAACCATGTTAATAACTGTCCAACTCATGATGAGCTCTCAGGTAAAGCTTTTTCACTCTTCTCTAATGGCAACAGGAGCACATGGATTTTGGATAGTGGGTGCACAGATCATATGGTTTATGACCAAAATCTGCTCACATACTCAAGACCGGTTAATGGCCGCATTGTTGAATTACCAAATGGATCAATAGCACAAGTAACTCACATAAGCAGAGTTCATCTATCTCCTAATTTGATCCTTGATAATGTTTTATATGTCCCATATTTTCGATTGAATTTAATTTCTATTAGCAAACTAGCCTTTGATTCTTCTTGCATAACCATTTTTCTAAGCCAATTTTGTGTGATTCAGGACCTACGTTCGGGGAAGATGATTGGGACGGGAATTGAACGGGAGGGTCTCTACTTTCTCAACCAAGCCAAAAAAGGAACCTGCAACCATGCCAAAACTTCTAACCCGAACCTTTGGCATCAACGTCTTGGGCATCCCTCAACTAAAGTCTCTCTATTATTTCCTAAAGTTAATTCTTGCTCTAACGACAAGTGTTTGATTTGTCCATTAGCAAAACAAACCAGACTTTCATTTTCTTCAAGTTCCATTACTACTACATCTTCATTTGATTTAATCCATGTTGACATTTGGGGTAGTTATAAAATTCCTTCTACTTCAGGTGCCAAATATTTTCTTACTATTGTTGATGATCATACTAGATGCACATGGATTTATCTTATGAAACACAAATCCAACACTAGGGATCTTCTAGTCAATTTCATTAACATGGCTGAAAATCAATTTTATTCCAAAGTCAAAATGATTCGTAGTGATAATAGTCTTGAATTCAAACTTGAAAGCTCTTACGCTCACAAAGGTATTATTCATCAAACCAATTGCATTAATACTCCATAACAAAATGGCGTTGCCGAACGCAAACATAGGCATTTGTTAAATATGGCACGTGCTTTACTTCTTCAAGCCGGTCTTCCTCATCAATTTTAGGGTGACGCTATTCTTGCTTCCGCTTATCTCATAAATCGAACACCAACCCCCACTCTCCATGGAAAAACACCATATGAAAAACTCTTTGATTAATACTTAAAAGTGCATTTTTATCATGGTTTTATATCATCATTTTGCACTTGAAGTATCAATAACTCCTTAACTAAAGCATGTTTTATAATAATATAAGATACCTTTAATTTAAGGTAAAT